TACCTTAGTTCAATAATTGGGGGTCAAAATAACTACTACAATTATTTCTTTGGCAGAGTATTCTAATGTTTTTTTCTTCTTGTTTGGCAGATGCTACAAATCTTGAATCACATAACTATAAAGTTCAAGTACAAAATTGATCTAAACAAAATAAGGACATGGTATTTAATCCTAAATTTTATATAAATTAAAGGCAATTATTGTCACTAGACTTGACCTTCTTGTACTCTCCACTGTTATAGCTCATTTTACAAATATAGGTGAAGGACAAATAAATGGACATGAGGTCGATGGCGTCGATCGCATTATGCCATTCGTGTAGTGGCGTAATGCAAATGACATAATGATTGGACAACACCAGGCTCTATAGACATTATTTTTGTCTCAGGCTATCAACAACAACAGCTGAATTACTTCACAAAATGCTATGAAGGGTTTAAAAAGATATCCTGATATAAAAACAACAACAACAAATGCTTAATCCTACTACGTGGGGCTTAATCCTACTACGTGGGGTCGACTACAAGAATCATTTTTCTCCATTGCGTTCTAATTATAGTGTCATATTATCATTTAGATCTAATAAATTAAAATTATTTTTTATACAATAAGCCCAAATCTTCCTAGGTCTATCTCTGCCTTTCTTAATATAAGTCGAACTAAATCATCTACTCTCCTAATCGTATCCTCAGATGCTCGACTTTTAATGTGAGCAAACCATCTAAAATGACTTTCTCTAATTTTGTCCGTCACTGGAGCTACAACAACCCTATCACAGACATATTCATTTCACATTTTGTCTCTTTTGTCTCTAAGTGTAAAATTTCACATTTTGTCTCTAAGTGTAAAGCCACTCATCCATTTAATCATTCTCATCTCGGCAACATTTAACTTAGTATTATGCTTCTCTTCAAAGGCCAACATTCCGCGCCATAGAGCATTGCTGGTCTCACCACCTGTTATAAAATTTTCCTTTCAGTTTAAGCTGTACTTTTACGTCACACAAAAAGCCCGAAGCATTCCTCCATTCAACCAACCAACTTGAATTCTACTATTAACATCCCCATACCATAGCTTTTAAGAAAATACCCGAGATATTCAAATCGTTCACACCATTTAATAATTTGATCACCCAAAATTACACTTCTGTAACTAGAGCTACTACTAAAATTACGTTTCATGTATTCAGTTTTTGTTCTACTCAAATGAAAGCCTTTAGACTCCAATGTAGACCTCCATAATTCAAGTTTTTTTTCGGGCTTTTTCTCTCTGTCTTATCTACGAGAAGGATATCATCAGCAAAAAGCATACAATGATATCCTAATATAGAATAATAATAATAAATCGAAAGAGAAGGCAACATCATAAACATATTTTTTCTATAAGAAAATTTAAAAATCATATAATTTATAGAACAAATGTCTTCTTATCACAGTAAAAGAAGACACTTTCACTTGAAAAATGATTCAATTAAAGAATCCAGACAATTATAATTGTTACATGTAACTTAAAATGCTGACTACATCAAAAAGAAATTGAGGAGACAGCTTAATGATCTTCAGTGTCAACAGGTTCGGCTCCTACAGAATTTCTCATTGGTCTGTGCTTCTTCCTCTTGAGCTTGGGCAAGCTTAGGATCCAATCTGGAACCTCACAGCCTGACTCTTTCATCACATTTGCTATGTTCCTTAGGAATGGTTTATCCTCTTCAGTAAACAATGTTATAGCCTCACCACATCTCCCAGCTCTTCCAGACCGACCTATAATCAAGCACAATAAATAAATAAATTATGGCATTTATATATATACCACACATTTCTTCAGCTTTAACATCACATCAAAAATACTACTATTACTAACTTTTTAAAAGTGGAAAACACTTTTTCATGTGTAGGTTTATAACACATAAATATTATAAATATAAATATCAAACTTTAAGTGCTACATATATTAATACATAAGAATTGTGTTGTTTGTATGCAAACTTCCCATAAATAAAATGATGAAGAATATATATATATTGATCAGTTATTCCCTACTATGGAAGAAGTCTACGACATATGGAATTAAATATAAAAATACTTAAAATGAGATTCATTTAACAATAAACTTCTCCAAAATATCAAACTTTATTTATAAAAAGTGGGGCTTTGTGTTACATCTGAGAACTTAAAATGTCAAAAATTTTCAGAATCAAATCATAGTAAAAGCTACAATGGCAAGAACACGATATAATAATCATCAATAGAATCAAAATTTATTAAATTGTGTTTTCTGAACAAAAGCAAATCATTAAAACTGATAGAAATATTTATATAAGGATTGATCAACACGTACCGATTCGATGAATATAAGAGGCAGCTGATTCGGGAAAATCATAGTTAATGACACAATTAATACCCTTAAAATCCATTCCGCGAGCGATGACATCAGTTGCTATCAAAACCCAAGTTTTTCCTGCTCGGAAATTATCAACAGCATCTTCTCTCTGAGAGAATATAAGCATTGAAAATCAACGAGATCAACAAAGAGAGAAAAATATAGTAAGGGCATTTACATGCATATCATCTAATTCTTATGTATATACATATATAACACCTAGACTTTGCTTCTTATGAGAGAAAAATATAGTAAGGGCATTTACATGCATATCATCTAATTCTTATGCATATACATATATAACACCTACACCACCAAAATCTTTCATATCACATAAAAAATACCACAATTTTAACTTCTAAATGGTGAAATACACCATTTCATGAATAGGTGAAGTGCTGTATATATGTGCCAAAAATTGAATTTTAAACGATCTGTAAATACATAGAAATTGAGTGCTATACACGTAAATCTTCCTTTATTCATTTATGTAATATCTGGAAGTATTTCCATGTTTTATTACTTTGTACAGTAAGAAGTATTACCTGCTCTTGAGTCAAATCTGCATGAATAACATCTGCCTTTATGTCATCAAAAGCTAATTCCTTGTAAAGCTCCTTCGCTCTTTCTTTGCTTTGAACAAATACTAAAATTGGAGGATTAAGGCTCTGCATGTTACAAAGAACAACCATCCTGAAGTAATATGGAAGAACTGAATATTGCACTTGGGATCATAATCAAATCAAGTTAATGTGTATTTTAACATCAGTTCTGTTGAAATTTTTTGCCATCTAATTAAAGAACAAACCATTATTTACAAAGCAAAAGTTACTAAGAAAAAATATAAAAGGAAATTTACTTACATACCACACAACTCTTATGTATTTACATATCCAACACCTAAAGATTAAAATTTAATAATTGTATTTATAATACTTTGATTTCATAAACCTAGGCATGAAAATGCGCATTTCACTTTCAGGATTTTTTATATGATGTTGAAGTTCTGAGTCTTATAAATGTAAATATAAAAGTTTGCTTTCTTAGATGATTAATTACTAAATAATTATTTACTTTTACAAATTTACTAACATTAAGTGCTTCATTCTAATTAAGTAATATTTATAATCATATCAATTTGATCATTCAATCACACCCATCAATGTTACAGTAGTAGCAATCATAGCACTTTCGCCAAACCATTGTTAGCTTTCCAACACAACACAGCTTAGGGTCTGTCTGGAGCATCTGCAGCTGTTTGAAGAAGCAACTGTGAAGCTGCTGCAGAATAAACTGCTTTTCTGCACCTATCAATGTTACAAATGTAACTATAAAAGTTTGCTTTCTTAGATGATTAATAACTAAATAATTATTTACTTTTACATATTAACTAACATTAAGTCCTTCATTCTAATTAAGTAAAATTTATAATCATATCAATTCAATCAACACCTATTAATGTTACAGTAGTAGCAATCATAACACTTTCGTTAAACCATTGTTAGCTTTCCAACAAAACACAAAGCAACTGTGAAGCTGCTGCAGAATAAGCTGCTTTTCAAAAAACTGCGGTGGCTTCTTCAAATAAACAAGTTGTGATGGCAGCCATCACACTTCTTCTTCAAATAAACAAGTTGTGATGGTAGCCATCACACTTTAACAGTTCAAGTTGATATTATTATTTTTTTTTTATAATAAACAAGTCAGCTCGAACTCGTAGAAATAAGCTCGAGCTCGAGCACAACCCCGATTAATTAATCATGCTCAAGCTCAACATGAGTGTGGCTCAAGCTCGACTCTCATTCACTTCCCTAATTGTAGCTGGGTCAAATTACTGGGACAGGCAAATATTTAGGTTTAGTTCATGAATTGACCTATTAATAACCAAACTCGTGACTATGATCTCATAAAAGAAATTATTAAACCAATAAATAGAATTTCTTTAACCAAACCTGAGGCTAACATATCATTAAAAAAATGTTAAAGCAAAGAAATAAAATTTCCCTGAAGCACCGTAGTAGAATACTGGTAGTTGATACTCAATGGGGGAGCATGCACATACCTCTGCAAAACTTAAACGAAGTGCGAGAAGTTTTCCCTTTTCACTTCCAGCAAATAATAATTTTTGTTTGACTAATGTTGAAGCAGAATTTCTAACAAAGAATATTAAGCAATATTAGTTATATAAGATAAATTTTCATCTAAGTCTGAATTTTTAGCATAGAATGTAACTCACTTTCTTCCCACAATTACTCTGATTGCATCGTGCATTATTGTGCGTGCAAGTTCCTCCACTGAGTCTGGTAACGTTGCACTGAACAAACATCGAACTATGGAAGGATTTGAACAAGCTTTGACTATGGAATCAATTTGTTCTACGAAACCAAGCTCAAAAAGTTTATCTGATTCATCTAAAACAAGATATTCCACCCTGCAAAAAGTGACAACTTATATGAACAGTTGAAAAATCATAATTCATTTAAAAATAAATTAGCACAAATGTTTACAAATGCTTACAACTGCATTTTCATTTTGCAAATAGATTTCAAAACCCCAATGTTTAACCTTTTAATTTTCATATGTTAAAAGATTATAAAAAAAATTGTAAATAGAATATCCAAATAGATTAATTTTGATATGCCAATTTCACAAATGATGCTTATAAATATCCAAATTATTGTAAATAGAATAGTTTTAATAAAATAAAATATCAATTTTTTTCTTCCAATCTCGTTTTTATATTGGATGTGGATTCTTTAGAGTCCTGCATAAGTACAATAAACAACCTATAATGGAAGCTATCTCCTTTGACATGGGACCTAAATATTCTACACCTTAGTGATATCTTGCTTTCATCTATTTTCTTCCTAAAAATTAGTTATTGGCTTTGCAAAATTCTTAATTTTGGTCAAATTTGTCATAATTGGTTTTTTAATTGTGGTAGAAATTGTTATTTGATTGATGATTTGTTCAATCTTTCTCTTAATTTCTTCAGATTTAATCGTTTGTTGCATTATGCATTCAGATAATTTTCTCAATTTCTTATATTCAAATCTAAAAAAGTGAATTTTTGCATATTTGGATTTTAGTATTTAAACCATAATTTCTTTTGTGATCTCTGAATTTTTCGCTCATCCTATTCATATTAAGAATTCTAGACCTCTAAACATCTTGCATCAGTCTAAGATAGAACAATAGATGAAAAAAGGAAACTATAAACAATCAATTAATAATAACCAACCCAATTTTCCACGAGCCAGTTCCTACATATCTCCATCCCAAATAATCAAGAATTTAATTACTTTCAATGAAGATAATAACTAGGAAGTACGCTAACTCCATAAAAAATATAAACTAAATATTAGATATTTTTCAGTGTTAATGAATAGCAATTTACACTTTTGCAATGATTTAAGAGGACAGAGACATCACCATCGTGCAATAAATGTATCGAGAACATGTTTGATTTGAACAATCAAGGAAACAAACTCTCAAGCTTAATGCACTCATAAATGAACAAAATAGTTCATAAATTATATACCCATTTACAAGATCGAGAAACATTTTTATCACCAATGCTTTAGAATATGTTCTTTGCGGATTAGGTCGCAATTGACAGAAAAGTTACAGGTAATTAGCATTTCTATCTTCAAAGGTGCAAAACTTTTAATTTCACTCTCCATTTGCTCAAATGCAGATGGGTTTGTACACAAAATATTATTTCAAACAGAAAATAAACTCAGGTTATACTTAAAACTTTTTTCTATATTCTTTATCTTGGTTCCCTTTAAACTTTTGGAATTGATGCCACTAATATAACAAAACCACCAAAGAATCATCAGTGATTTTGGCTGTGTACATGATGTTTTTGTTGAATCCATTTGATCCTTCTTTTTTGGGCATTTACATATGTAGCACACAACTCTTATTTATTTACATATCTAACACCAAAACATTCAAACTTTCATATTTAAGCACATAACACACAAATATTTAATATAACATAAAAAATAGCACTAATACCACCATTAAAAATTGAAATAATCCTTTTCAAGCATAGGTTTATCAAAGTTCTACGTATGTAAAATGAAAGTTTAGGAGTTGATACAAGAAAGTTTAGATCTGTAAATACATAAGACTCATGTGCTGCATATGTAAATTTCATGTTTTTACAATAATGAAGTCTAGAGATAACTTAAAAAGCAATGTAAACATATAAGTTTTATTGGAGTAGCATCAAAAGAGTAACTTACCTATTTAAATCAAGCTTTCCTTTGCGCACAGCATAATCAACACGAAGTGGAGTTGATACAAGAATATCACAGGGTATTTTCGCAAAATCACCACATCGGGACAACTCTTTAGTCATAAGTTTGATGTGAAACTTTCTACCTTTAGCCACCTTTTTACACTCCCTAGTAGTTTGTGCAGCTAATTCTCTTGTCGGACAAATAATTACTCCTTTGACACCTTTACATCTTGGCTGATTTCATGAAAATAATCATAATTGCATTAAGAAAAACAGGCATAATTTTTAAGGAAAACAAATGTTACCTTAATTTTCATAAGCATAGGGATCAAGAAAGCCAAAGTCTTGCCTGATCCAGTTGGCGCACATGCAAAACACTCACGTCCCTAAGACATGAACTAGAATAAGTAGTTCAAAAGATGTTTGAACAAAACATGAGGAATTACTATAGAAAGGAATAGCTTACTGCGAGTAGAATTGGAATGGCTTGCATTTGAATAGGTGTTGGCTCTTTAAAACTCAATTCAAAAAAATTATGCAATAAATGTGATTTGCAGCCAAACCTGCTTAAGGATCTTTTCAGTAAGAAACCATATAGACACAGTATACAAAACGTTCAAATGTAAAAATAAAATCAAAATACAATGAAGTGAAGAATATGAATGTAATCTCACTAGAAATGTAACACAAAATGTAAATACTTTTTAAAAATAAAAAGGAATCATGGCAAAAATATGAACAGTACCTTGATTTCAATTCATCAAAGTTCCGAATTGGAGATGGAACACTATACCCTGAAATACGAATCCCATATTTCTTACGAAAAAGAGAATCTAGCTGAAATGAAATTGAACTTTAGCGAAGACTACCATTTTTTTCAATAAAATTAAGTATCAATGTACTGGAGACAAAAAACATGGAATAAACAAACCTCTATCTGCTTCTCTACTTCCTTTCTATGTAGTACATAATCATCTTCCAAATTTGCTGTTGCATTACTGGTTTTGAGAGACTTAGAGCTCTTGAAAACATTGAACCCCTCCACAACTACTAAAAACAAGAAAATTTATAAGAAAAAAAATGCTAATGATTACAAAGACAACAGCCTTTTTTTTTGACAAAACTGAAAGCATGTGCTACCCGAGTCTCTCCGCTTCCTCTTTTTCTCTTTCTTGCTTCCATTCAGCACATTCGATTGAAATTCCCTGTATACATGCTCTTGATAACCTTCATGCACCTCATTTGGCTGTTATAAAAGGACACTAGGTTAAATTCGATAGCCGGTCGATAAACAAGCAAATCGTTGAATGGGAAAGCAGAGAAGAGAAACACGAAGAGGAAGAGAGTGACAATGCAATGCCTTGAATCTGGCGATATCCTTGGCGAAACGATTTCGATCAAAATGTGTGCCAGCAAAGAGAGAAGGTCTCTTCTCCATAGTTTTGATTTTTCTGAAATAGAGTTCAACGATCCCCGTCCCAAAACCTCTGTAAATCTCAAAAAAAAAATCATAAATCAATTATGATTAGAATAACTCATTGTATGCGGGATCCTTCGGGGGCTGTTTGATAGCCAAACAACAAAAATGACAACTTTAATGCCTGAAATGCCGGATAGAAGCTGAATCACGCGAAAGGGGGTGGAAGGAATGAAGAGAAAGATGCGGGTTTGTCGGATAGGAGCGGAGATACGCCGACAGAGAGCTAAGGTTCAGTAGCGACTGTAACGCGAGGGTTTTAGGAACGAGAGGAGGAAGGAGGAAGGCAGGCGATGGTTTTGGCTTTGCGATTAAAATATTTATTTTAATTTGTTAATTTAATTAATTAAATTGTTTAATAATTAATAAATATAGTATCACACTAATTATAATTAAAGGTTTTTATGCGTAAATATTTTATTATTAAATAACAGAAATTTGAGTATAAATTAAGATTTAATTATTTTAATAAATTTTAAATAATTGTTAATTAGACTGATAAATAATTAATCAAAATTAATTTATGATTGTTACTTGATAAATGAAGTACACCAGGGTAGATACCTTGCTCTAATTCGGTCGTTGCCATCGTCTTAGCCACTTTATTAAGTAATTATCATTAAATATATTGCTAAATTAAAGTTGTTTAATTTAATTTCAATTCATTTTAATAAAGCTAATTCAGTAAAATTAATAATTAATATATTATATTAAGTATTTGTAACTTAGTTAATTTAATTATAATTGATACAAGTTTATAAACAATTAATTAATATACATATATATATATAGGGTCGTGCACTCGGATAAGTCGGTCGGGCATCTATTTGTCGGTCCTCTTATCTAGGGTTCGATTCTTCTAATTGATACAAGTTTATAAACAATTAATTAATATATATATATATAGCGTCACGCACTCGGTTCAATTCTTTCATTGTAGGTCCCATTGGATCATGGGTTAGATTCCACATAGCACGGAATTTTCGATTAGTTAACACACGACGCGAGCTCTCATGATGAGCCCAGCACATGGAAACCCAAAGATCCAAGCAGTCATCTGTGCTTCCAACCAAGCATAGACCAGAGAGAAACTTCTCAACGAAAAGTTGTGAGCTATGGCAGCCATGAGATTCCATCGATGAGGCAGAAGATGTGCTTGATGAGTTGAGTACATGAAGCACAAAGAACAGATGATCAAAATTCATCTCAACTTGAATAGACTGGAGGAGGTTCGGCAAAAGCTAGATAGAGATTCAGCTGAGATTGGTACTTTCTTTCATCTTTTAGAAAACACAAAAAAAAGCAGGAGCAGCAGGAGCATGGCTACACTAATAAATAGATTCTTTGCTTAATTATACATTATATGATTTTCCTTATCTAACATCACAATCCATCTCAACTTGAAGAGAGTGGAGGAGGTTCGGCAAAAGCTAGATAGAGATTCTTCTGAGCTTGTTACTTTCTTTCATCTTTTAGAAAACACAAAACAAGCAGGAGCAGGAGCCAACAAATGAAGATTAAACTCATTATTAGAGCTACTTGGGACAACAGCATTTCTCTTACAACATTGAAATAATGATTGCAAAAGTGACTAGAAAAGAGGAAACATTGAAATTAGAGGAAGTGGATGAAGATGAGTGCTTGCAGCTCCTCACACCCACACATTTGCTGATGTAGGGAACATTGGTGATCATAAGAAACTATGATGCATTGTTAGAGATATAATTAACTATGCTTTCAAGTTCACCATAGGCAGTAATATTCATCAGTGGATTCTGAATCTAGCTTGAATGAGAGGCATTGGATTAGAGTCGAAAACAGTATTATTGGCAGCGTCGAATTAGGTTAGAATGACATCGTGCCCATCTTAATAAGATAGAGCTATCTATCCCTCCCAAAACCTCGACAAAATTGTTTCGCATTATGTCATATTCCCACAAATTCAATTTTGGGCAGAATACCGTTTTTTGACAAGATTCAGACTAATCATAAAACCCAATACAAGATGCATGATTTATTACATGAATTGACAGTTTATTTCTGAACAGATTTGTGAAGGACAATATTTGCTTTCAAGAATTTTTAGAACTATTAAGCGCTTGTTGAAACTACAAATCTAGAAGCGCCGAGAAAGATTAAAGGAATGAAAATCTTGCATTCGCTTTTTTTCAGCCAAGGGCAGAACCCGGTTTAATTGGAAGTCAGAATGTTACAAAAAAAGTTTGGGGAGAAAGATGCAAAATAGGCGTACAATTAAAGCATAGCCTTAAAAAAAGTGAACCAACAATGCATCAATTCAGCTGCAAGTTGCCAGGCACCGAGAGGTCTATTTATCCCAACAGTTGGAATAGGGCTTTCTAAGCATAAGAAATCATCAAATTATGCCTTTTAACAGCAACATAATCACAAGAGATTGTGATAGATCAAACAGTCCTAGTTGCTGGGTTGCACAATTAAAGTCAAAAACTCAAAGATTACATCATTACCACACACTTATAGAGGGGGAGTTTAGGCCCCTAAAAATATCAGCGCAAAAAAATCATATAATCAGCATTTATAAACTCATTATTCCATTCCATAAACAACTACCGAACATTCTGAAGCTGGTTCCTCTTATCTTTGCACCATCCGATTTTACGAGCCACCAAAAATTTTGATGTAAACGGGGGCAAATGCTAACATTAGAAAAGCCTCTCATTTTTAGCTCTCCATAAGCCAATGCCTAGGAAATTTACAAGTTCAGCATTTTTTCAGCAGAGTGATTAGCAAACCTTTCGGCTGACAAAGCCGAGTCCATAGTAGTGTAAAAAGCAAATTTCAAAGTAGCCAGAATAACATACTACATTGAAAGAATGGGTGGTTGTGAGTTTCTGAGAAAGTATTACAAAACCTACGTCTACTGTTCACCACTAAGCTCCTAGCATTAAACTTACAAGCAGTCCTTAAGCCCCCAAAAAGGCTAGCCAGCATTATTGTGAGAATTTAAGAGTGAGTCATTGAGCTGATACAAATTCACTGTAGCCACATTATGAAAAATGATGTTTTTGCAGGTCTTAAAGAAAAGTGGAGTTCCATATTCCAAATAAATTTGTCCCACGCTTCACTAATAGTGATAGCAAAAAAACAGACTTATAAAGAATGAAACAGCCATCCATATTAACAGAGTTGAGAGCAGCAGGAGCCAGCCAAAAACTTTACAAAATTGAGTTCTCATAATGTCCATAAGAGAGTTTCCTCTAACCCAAGGGTAATGAAACAGACAGAGGTTAATGCCAGCCGATATGAAAAGAGATCCATCTTCTCCAAAAGAAAGCCAAAAAGACAATTTCTCTTCAAAAGGGAGAACCCTCCTATAACAATTCCATGACAAAAGAATTTCAACTTAAAATGTGGATGTGTTTTCCAAGCGCTTCGATGCGAATTTTTGTAACTTCACGGGTCACCACAGCCATACATGTTCCTCATAGATTATAAATTACAAGTGATATATGTAGCAAAAGGATCTCGGTAGCGCACGAGTTCGATGTTAAAAGTTGCTACCAAAAATCTCCCAAGACTGCAAGAATGATGATAAAAGGAATAGAAGAACAGGAGTGTGAGATAAACCACAAATATTATTTGGAAAACTTTCAAATCAATCCATCTATTAGAAAATAATAGCAGCTCTGATACAGCTCTCAAGGCTTTTCTTCCTACACAGACAGTCCCAAGATAAAGAGCACTTTCTCCACACTTTTTTCATGCCTGTTACCAACTAGGGCTCAATACATATATATAACAATCCTCTAAGAACTCTTAGGGCAGCAACCTCAAAACATGACAAAGAAAAATAACAGACAAAAAAGCAGAAAAAACAAAACTGTACTTCTCAGCAAACGATCTCAACATATTTGCTTACATAACAAACAAGCAAACCTAATTTTTCTCTCAAAGTGGATTAATTCAACTAATCTGCGTATGAAGAACCATTTTCTAAAATGGCATTCTTCCTGTTAAAAAGCTATCCCAGAACTAAAGAGACTACAAAGAAGTTCTCAGCTTTGCTTCCCATACACAACATTGGCTCTGAAAACTATATCAAATGAAAGAGATCACAAGCTAAAACCTGAATTTCCAACATAATAAAAAAAAAATTTGATAAATATATCAAAATATTAAACCAAAGTTTATATAAAAGTAAAAACACATGATTCAGAGTAAACATAAATAGATGAATAATGTACCATCAAAAGAAGGCAGTAGACCCACAATGTTGGGGATCTTGTTTGCCAAGAACACTTGAATCAAATTTGTGTATGTTAAAAAGCATATAAGAAAGGCCATCCAAAAGAACCACTTGTGTCATATGGCTCTGACTTATCATAACCCTCTAAAAATAGAATTTGACAAACCCAAATAAAAGATTTAAACAAAATATAAAGAAAGTAAAAATAACCAACTTTAGAAGTTAGAAATGCAAATACATAAGAACTTTTTGGTATGCATGCACATCCTCTTTAAAAATATCAGAGCTAAGAGTAAGCAAAAAGAGACAAATAATCTGTCATCATAAGAAGGCAGAATAACCATATAGCAGAGAATCACGGTTGCCAAAAGCACTTAAAGACCAAACTTGTATATGTAGAAAAGCAGGGCAAAAGAGAGGTCATCCATGAGAATTCAGTTTGTCATACTATTCATCATAACCTTCTCAAAAAATCAATCCAAGAATCAGGTAGCCACTGAACTGAAAAAGAGGCACAAACACTAGAATACTTGTTGATACCAAATTGAAGCATTGGAAAGCAAAAGAAGCAAAGAGAAAAATAAACAAATTTCCGCAAAAAACCCTAAAAGGGAAACAATCAAGAGAGAATCCACTATATTCAAAAGAACAGAAGTTAATGGTGAAAAGTCTATTTATAAGTGAAAAATTGTGTGCGTGCACGCACATATATAGAGTCAAAGAATAATAGTGGACCATTACAGCAGTGGGCTGCCGATCCCACGCCACTGCAAGTTATCAACCAAATCCCTCGACAGCCACCACCAATTTGTTAGCTGGAGCCCGATAGGATTTTTCCGCCTATGCTTCCCGCTCCGGCTCTCGCTCTCCTGCTCACGAAAGATCGGAATCCCGCTCCCGCTCGATCGCGAAACCATTCCCGCTCCCGTTCGAGAAAGAACCGCTCCTCTGTCGCAAATAGTCGCGACGTCTCCCTTCCTATTCGCAAATTCAGTTTTCCGGGATAGAGGAAAGAAAGTTCAAGCAGTAATTTCTTGCGGCAGAAGAAAGAAAAAGGAAGAAGAAGATTGTTCTCCGTTG